GTGTGCGGTATCGAACATAATGTCCCGCGGATTTCACGGATATTTGCGTGTACACGGTGGTGTAGCCGAGTGTAGGATTTAAATTGTGGAGGTTTATGGATTTCTGGGGTAAATATTTACGGTAACGGAGTGTACACCACCGATTTCGATGATTTTTAAATATTTTGTAAGGGTCGTCATCCAGAGTCGTATTGTGAAGGTTTTAGTTGGGTTTCGCCATTTGTAAAAAAGTTATTATAAAAAAAAAAAACGATAGAAACGCCATATATTTTTTCAAACTTATTAACAAAAACAAAATATCCACCAAAACAATATGCTTATCAGTCTTCTACAACTAGTAGAAACTCGTTTATTGTTTCGGGGGAGTTATAAAAAAGAGTCATTCAGAGTTGGTTAGACAACTTAAGAAAAAGTTATCGTTCTCTTAATAACTTTCTAATAGAGAATATTTGATAAGTGAAATTTCTGAAGATTACTCAGGAGGGTGACCTAGACAGGATGTGTCAAGGTCAAGGTCATCGGCCCTTTTACTTAACAATATCATCAAAGCACGACACTAAACTTTTTTTTATAACTTTTTTATCAACGGTGATACAAACTAAAACCTTCACAATACTACTCAGAGTACCGAACTCTGAGTTATACTCACCTAATCCAGACCTAACCCAGACACTAAACTTTTTTTTATAACTTTTTTATTAACGGCGACACCAACTAAAACCTTCACAATACTACTCAGAGTGATGATCTTGATAACATATTAAGAAACTCATCGAAGTCTCTCTCTCTCCCCCCTCCCAGTGGTGGGAATAACGTCAGTGTTAGTGTCGCATTCATCGAGGGACACTATTACTGATGAGGAAATTGTCTATCCAAAATCATTTACTTGTATTACTAATCGTAAATTAATAAATGTTTATAAATATACTGTTGAAGAATATTGTGAATCCGGTCTAAAAAAATGATCAAATACCTTCACCCGTGAAGTATCGTTCCTTAATTTGTGACTCTTAATAGTTTGTCGAAGTGTCATAAAAGTTGGGCATCCTGTTTGCACGAAGTTTTCCACGGAGATCGATAAAAAGCTAATGCATGAGTAACGAGGTAATAGAAATGCAAATCGCCATCAAGTTAATATACAGTTTGGGAAAACTTTCTCGTTAATTCGAGTCTTTTCGAGGAGGACTACAAATTTTCGTCAATTGCAAAATACCTTGAAAAAATCGCGAAATACTTTCGAATCTACTCTCAAAAATGGCAGGAACGGTGATTAATCTGTTCTTCGAAAAAAATTACAAGAACGCGAAACTTTATTTTATCACGTCAAAATATCATTCCGTATTAATGCATCATTAAATTCAGGATAATTTAAATAAACATTACACATTTGAATTAAAATAGTAAATCTTAATACCTCAGCAAAAATAACGCTCTAAATGTATTATATTTCTTAAACTTGACTGTAGACTTCGCAACGACGATTCATTATACGTTATAATACATTATTCATACGAAGTTGAAACTGTTGTAACGACTTAAAACGTTAGCAACCTACAGAGTCAAGGTTTAACAAGCTCTACTGCAAGAGAATCTATAATGCACCTGAACCTGATTTTTAAAACTTTTACAATGCTCGAGATTTCAAAGATGGAGATCTTTCGTAAACTTTTTCTTCACCAATAAAATAACATGTGAGATCAAAAACACTAAAAGGGCAATTTTAGTAGTAAGCTTTTCTACTAAATTATTCAGTGACAAGTATTAATTGTCAATATATTAAGTATTCAATTTGGGATCAATGCTAATATGAAATTTCACGCTCTATGACTTCCTAAGTAATGTATCAAAGTTTCTTACACTCGTTCTGAATAGCTTCGTTTCAGCTATTAATTTTAACACTTTGACTGAATTAAATAAACATAGTTCTATGCTCTACCTGTACGATGATATCAAGTTTATCTTCTTCCATCACGAACAATCTTCCCACCAATGGTTTCACAAGCTTGTACGCGTATAATTACCACCTTACTAGTCCCCGACCGATTTGTATCTGCGACCAGAAAAGTACCCTGCGTCGAAATAACCCACAATTGTAACTTCGATAGTTCCCCCCTCGGCATGCAAGGCAACTTCAGAACTCTGTCGACCGTGGGTCCACGTTAGACGTAGAATGCACGAAGTTTCACGGTAATTAGCCCGAGGGATGATGGCGGGATCGAGTATGGAGGGGTAGTCGGGCAGCAAATGAATTGAAAGTGCTACGGTGCATCTTTGTTGAAGAGCGAGTGTCCTGATTGCTTACGGACCTGCTTGTTATGGCACTTTCGTATTAATTGACACGTATTATGACGTCAAAGCATGCTGCACGAACGGCTATTGACTATGCCGGCTTGCCGTTTGACAGAAACTGAAATTAACCCCTAATTAAAGTGCAAATGTTGAACGTTTGATGAACCTGATTTCGAATGGACCTTTGTGTTACATATTTCCATGAAACGGTTTACATGAATATCCATGGTGCCGTTAATGGAAACAAGTAGGGACGAAAATACGATATTTATTGTTGAAATGAAAAACAATTTTGGTTAGAGGAAAAGTAACGGGAGATGGGAGTACGCAATTCGAAACTATAAACGAATGTTTACTAGGTTCAACCTCTACACAAAAGATGATTGCGTGGATATTAATATTCATTTCATGATTTCTTATTTATACATATATCATCTTTCGGCTTTCGTATGGAATGAACTTTTCTCATAGATTAGACAAACGGTATTATTCTAGATAAAATATTCTAAATTATGAATAATGTCGAGTTAATAGCCGAGGACTTGGAATTCCTTTCTGCACTTATAAGACTTAATGTAGCTTCCATAATTTCAGATGAACATTTTATATTACACGTAACTTTGAATATTTGAAGCCTGATAACGTAGAAAATTACGTTATAACTACTATGCCCGTGAAGTAGAAAATTTGTTCATACTGTAACAATGTTTAACATTTGAAAAATTTTAATAAAATACATAGGTTTTTCCCTTAATTTCTGAGTTTTTAAATCACGGTAAAAGAACTGCTAGGTCTCAAAGAATTTTTGAAAATTCTTAACTCATATTTCCACAAGTTATCTGAACGGATGACACTTCGAAAATTTTCTAATTTTTGTCTATTTCAACAGCAGTAATTAAGTATTTAACAATGTAACAAATTAGGTGCTGAAAAAATGACCTACGGTGCCATCTGGTGTCAAAAAGGTGTATGAAGTAGTTAGTAGCTTGAACGTTATGCCGTAGATGTCATTGCAATTTCATCTAAACCATTTCATTTTGTAGTAACCATTCGTTTATTGCATTTTTCGGGGCTGTAGAGAGCCGGAATTCTAGAATTATGCATCCCAAATGCTTCCCCCACCACTTGGTCGTTCAGTTGTGCGACTAAACTACATACATATATGCTGTGCTGCCTGCCCCCCTCCCCGTCCGTCCAGAAATTATTGAAATATGTAAAAAAAACATTCGTCAGTTAGTAAAATCTTATGTTATAAAAAGTAAATACTAAAAAGTATTAAATAAAAATGTATTAGAATTAAGCTGTTTAATTTTAACATTCTAGTGTAACTAATAATCCTGTAACATCAATTGAAGGGTCGAATGCAATAAGGAAACTAGCGCGAATGTGAAAAATATTTGTGCAGAAAGGAACAGCAAATTGAATCTTATATAGATTTTAACTATAGGTATCTGTACATCATATACTTTTAATCAATCGTCAATTTCTTTTCGCATTTCTTTTATTTTTAAGAATTATGTTTATATCTTTCTATTCTTAGTTTCAGTGTTAAATAAATATGTAAGTAATTACTGTAAAATGTGTAATTACATTTTATGCAACCCACGTACATGGTATAAAATACACATATAAACGGGATCTCTTTTGCCTTGAAGTACTCTTGCTTTTTTTTGATGTAATGCACCGTTAAAGCTACGACTGCCAGCGTTGCAACTACCGACCAAAAAACCATGGTTGCTTGGAAGCTTCTTCTTTCAATGTTTATGTTTAAGTGTAAGTCGAAAGTTCTTTCGGACGGAGCCAGGTATGCACTCATTGGACTTTATAGTCGCGTCTACTTTGTATTTTCACTTGAAAGGACGTAAGACTAATCACAGGGGGTTATATGACAACCCAATTGTTAAGCACTCCACGACACGGTTTCCGACAGTCTGAACCTGATTCACGTTTATCAATAGCTTATAACACGCAAAGGAGATATGTACTCGTCTGTGATTAGTTGTAGCATCCACTACGTAGTTAATAATACATTGAACACTGTAAAATTTTTATTATGGGCCGTTTATCAAGCCTACACTCGTAACATGATCTTCTTATCGCACGATAATGGTATCAGTCTTTTTTTCAATTCATTTCATAGTTCTCGTTCGAATAATTTTATTTATTGGTGTAACATGCATAATTTTGCTGCATAATATTATTATGGTCTCATAATACAGTCTTTTCCTACATCGAACTTGATACTCATCCGTTCCATTGATACTTAATCAGTTAAAAATGTTTCTGTGACGTCAGCTTTCAAGCGTGATATAAAACTTAATATTTTTAATACTAATTAGTAATAAAACATTACGTTCATAATTAATGAATGTTATTATTGACTACTACTGCACTATATTAATACAGAAGACTCTAAGGAATAATTAGGACGGAGACAATATTTTATATCAACAATTGAAATCACTATGCTGTTTTCTTTTCTTGTAATGAGTGCCAGCGTTCCAGACAATTGGATCACGAAAATATATTGGATATTAATATTATTGTATCACGAATAGAAACAGGCGTGATAACCGTGTTCACTGTTTAAAAATCATTAATTCAATAAAAAATAAACGAGAATAATAATTGTACCCAATTACACTACAGACTAATTGTGGAAAGGGACAATTTCTCCCATAATACAGGATAAATTAACTGCAACCACAGTGTCTTGTTTCCTGCTCAACCTTTTATTTGTTCTTCGAATAGTAACAGCAATCTTATAACGTATTTCATCAGTCGTATCTAGAAAATCCATACAATCACAATTGCGTCCTATTCTGTGAACAATGTACACATATATATATATATATATATATATACAATAGATCAAATCGGGCAAAATTGAAGATCACGCGTCGCATGGATGGCGTGCAGTCCCGACGTGCCATCGGTGGGCTGTACACGTCTTTAAAAATGAACACGTTTGGCACGTACAGGCTACACCCCCCGGTTTCTACTCCCACTGACGCGTGGAAATTTCCTTATCGATCGTCTGAAATCGGACGATCGCTCGGTGGCCAATTGTAACCGCAAGAAACGGGCAATCTAAATTCGATTATTGCATCCTAAGTACTAAAGTCTTCGCTAAATCGAAATCTTTACCCGGCATGGTTCGTCACTCTTCAACGATATTGATGGTGGACGTTGTTAAGGTATTGTCGCGAAAAAAAAACTGTACGCCCTAGCGTCGTCGTTCAATGTATAGGTCGAACGCTTCTGTTAAGTAATCCTCACGATTGGTTTCCCCTAAATCGGTACGTCGCGTGAATACACGCTAGCAATCCCCTCCCCCCTCCCCTCCCACCAAGACGTTCGATTACTTAACGAGTATCTATCTGGAATATTAGAGCGCCATACCGGACACGTTCTCCATTCGCGTACCGATATCGGTATACACGCAACTAGCTACGATCGTGCACGTCTCAGCGAACGATGTATTGCATTTTTGGCGCGCGTTTACTTTCCACTCGCGATCTCTTTCATGCGATTCAGAGCAGAACCGGCCTTGAACCAAGCTATCTGTTGTTCGTTCATCGTGTGATTCAGACTGATCGCGTCGACTTTGCCGTCCTTGTGCTTGATCTCTGCCTTGACGGGCTGAAAAGTAAGAAAATGAACACATTAGGTGTGCGGTTCGATTCAGGAAGACTTTCTCCCTGATAATCAGTTTCTGTACAAGTTTCGAATAAATTGCCAGTGAATAATGAAAAAAGTTAGCCATCTGTTTTCTACATTTCGCTTGGGTTTTGCAGGCAACGGCAGCTGACAAAATGGTCAAGCAAATTGGCAGCAAATCTTGCAACATAACCTATATCAAATCGAGGGCTAAAACAGAACAGAGTCTGAGCGAGCCAATTTGCTGCCTATGTTGCTGCCAATATGCACGCAAGTTGTTTATAGCAATTGCATCAAGCTTGTAGTCATAACTTTATAACAGGCATTGATGAAAATTTGGCTTCGCAGGTTTGGCTGAATGGGCTCTGGTTTCATTTCGGATTAGTAAATTACGGGATTAATAAAGGATTAAATTAAGGGATTAATTAGTTCAGATGAAAATTTACCTTGCCAGGCGCCAGATCCTTCAGTCCCAAGAGACTGATCTTGTCGGTAGGCTGGATCTTATCGTAGTCACTGGCATCCGCGAAGGTCAGTGGCAACAGACCCTGTTTCTTGAGGTTAGTTTCGTGGATACGGGCGAAACTCTTGACAATGATGGCTCGGCCACCGAGATGTCGTGGTTCGAGAGCAGCGTGCTCGCGGGACGATCCCTCTCCGTAGTTTTCGTCACCCACTGCAACCCATTTCACGCCATTTTTCTTGTAGTCTCGGGCAACGTCGGGCACAGCTCCCCATTGGCCATTGAGTTGGTTCTTGATCTTGTTCATTTCACCGTTCTCGGAATTCACGGCGCTATAGGTAGTTTTAAAGAGCATTTTTTAAATTCCGTTCGGATAGATTGAACTTATTGGATTATTTAAAAAAAACATTTTAAATTCCATTTGGATAGACTGGACTTATTGGATTGTTAAACTCACCCAATGAACATGTTGTTGGAGATGTTGTCCAAATGGCCACGGTATTTCAACCATGGACCGGCAGCTGAGATGTGATCGGTGGTGCATTTGCCTTTGACTTTGATTAAAATCGTCATGTCGGTGAGATCTTTACCGTCCCATTTGTCGAAGGGCTCCAGAAGCTGTAATCTTTGACTTTTCGGGTCCACGTCAACTTTGACTTTGCTACCATCAGCTGGTGGCGAGTCGTAGGTATCCATACCAGGGTCGAAACCGCGGCTAGGCAACTCATCGCCTGCAATGTTACCATAAAATGTTTTAACTCTCTTATCAGTTGTGCTGAAATTTGACAGTGAGGTGGATTTGGTAAAACATGATAACATTGAACAATTGTATTCCATTCAGGTTAATTCAACGTACTAATATTTTCTGTTATCAAATATTTTGATATAGTACAGATAAGGTACTAAAGTATGGCAAAGGAAAAATTGGGTTATAGATATGGAGCTTAATTTAATTGTATTTCCTTTGTACATTGTAACTCACAAATCATTATTAAGATCGGATACAATAAATGTCACTTTATACTAATGAATTCAACAGGAGACCGAGGTCGAGTAATTAATTAACGATTAAACAATGGATTCGAATACTACATGCTGTTTAATGACCCAGTATTGAATATTCTATTGATAGATTTCTATATACAAAATTTTTGAAGCGGGAAGGTCCATTAACAATTTACTTTTCATTTCTACATTTAAATTATTTTTTTCATTTCACCAGCTGGATTAATTTTCGAATGAGTATTGTTAGAATTACTAAAACCGAACAACCATTAAAAAGACGATCAAGTATTAAAACAAAAAAGAATTCGAAATGGCTCAGAATAGAAAAATCTAAATTAATTCTTGATAATATATTTAAGATTATTTTTAACGCCTCGAGTGTCGGCTGAACAGTATGCAGACGAGGCAGACGTGTTACGAAAGAGTCATAGTGAACTATGACTCATCCATCATTATTCATAAATTAGCACTCAACTACAAGTCGTTACACGCGTATCGTTATCATCGTTTTACATCGTATTACTGCCGTATATCCCACGATAATTAAGGAAGATATCAAACTTACCGAACGGATCTTTCAACTGGAACTCTTTTCCATCTTTGCCTTTAAGTTTGTCGGTGAGTGGATTGAAATCTAGTCGACCAGCGATAGACAAGGCAGTGACGAGTTCAGGGCTAGTGACGAAAGCGTGTGTAGACGGATTGGCGTCGTTACGTCCGGTGAAGTTACGATTGTACGATGTGACGATTGTGTTCTTGTCGCCTTTCTTGATGTCCTGACGATCCCATTGACCGATGCAAGGCCCGCAAGCATTGGCCAGAACAGTACCTCCGAATTCTCTAAGAGTTTTCGCCTGATCGATAAATAATAATATTTCACAATCGTCTGTAATCATTTCCACAAATGTAGATCACCAATATTTTTGCAAGATCACAACCTGGACATCATAGACTTTACTATTCAAATCTATGAAGACTTATAGAAAACATTCTAGTGCTGATCATAATTTCTGATATTAGAAGAAGCAACAAAAAAAGAATTCCACAAGAAGAGGTACATGTATCTCTCAGAAAAATACTCCAGAAACGTTATCTGTAGTTCTATTATAAACGATTCAGAATTTTTTTAACAAGTCATGTTATTATATCGAGGCACTACTGTTTTAAAAAATATTGCAACTTGAATGAAGGATTCTCTCGAGACGTGTTCCACGTAATTTCTCGAGTCTCTATTTTTTTCTTTTCACATTGTCAGAATACATCGATCCGATCCAAATTAAGAATTGGCGTGGGTCGCGCCGTCGTTTCTGAGTGTCATGTACCAATGCTTGGCACTGAATCAGGCACAGCGTGTGCTCGAATTGTCCACAAGCTTTATAACATAGCGACACAGTGGCACACTAAAACGAAACTCACGATTCCGTCACGTTCGATGGTGGCGCGGATCTGTTCGGATCCTGGCGTGACATTAAACGCGGACTTTGCGGTCAGTCCATGATCCAGAGCTTGTTTAGCGATGTTCGCGCATCGGCCCATGTCCTCGTAGGAACTGTTTGTGCAGGAACCGATAAGACCGACCTTGATCTCGTTCGGCCAATTGTTCTTCTTGGCAGTCTCACCTGATTAGAATTACAATTGTACTACTTCGAACATTTTCCTCGTTGGTTTGCAAAATTTCAGTGAGAAAACACCAAGTCTAGTATGCATGCTGTTTTTTTTTCAGAAATCATGTCTAATATTATTTATAAAGGTCATTTCAAGGTCACTTGTATTTTACTAAGTTACATATAAAATGAAACTGGTATGATTACTTCATTCCATTTCATTTTATACTACTTCGAGCAGACACATATATCTTTGAAGTTATAATACGAAATAATTTCAGCATACAACATTATGAAATTTCTAATGCACATCTGCATATAGTCTTCAGGCTTCCCTTTTGCGCAGACTGAAATGTAACGTATTAAACTAACCAATTACACTGTACTCCCAAGAAAGTTAACCTAAACACTGTCCCGAAATAAACTTTACGAAAGTGACACTTCCTCTTTTCTAATTTACTTAATTATCCATATATCCGTAATATTCCTGTACGGTTAAAAATATCCACGGTACTCGCAGAAAATGTTTCTAGACTGGTTGCAACAGTAAACAATATAGGCCGCAGCAGTGGTTACGAAACAATGTTTTCAAGTGCATACCAAGCTCGACAGTAACCTGTAGCTCACTTACCCAATTTAGAAATCGGATGGGCGAGATCAGGGGTGAACGGTCCATTGACATGGGGTTCCAACGTGGAAAGATCCAATTCTATGATCTGATCGTATTTAGCATTCGAGTCTGCGGTCAAGAGACTCTGTTTATGTTGATCGGCAGCCGCGGCGACTTCCGCGCGACCTGTTGCCTTCAAGTAATCCTGCATACGATAGTTATACGGGAAGAGCGAGGTGGTGGCACCGATCTCAGCGCCCATGTTGCAAATAGTAGCCATACCGGTACAGCTAATGCTGTCGACACCAGGGCCAAAGTACTCGACGATCGCCCCAGTGCCACCCTTCACCGTGAGGATACCGGCCACCTTCAAAATGATGTCCTTTGGGCTGGTCCATCCCTTCAACTTTCCAGTCAGCTTGACACCGATCACTTTCGGGCACTTCAGCTCCCATGGGATATTGGCCATCACGTCGACAGCATCAGCGCCACCTACACCGATACACAGACAGCCCAAACCGCCGCCGTTTGGCGTGTGGGAATCGGTACCGATCATCAGCAGGCCAGGGAAAGCATAGTTCTCGAGGATGATCTGGTGAATGATACCGGAGCCAGGGTTCCAGAAACCGACACCGTATTTCGCGCCGGCTGTTTGCAGGAAATTGTAGACTTCCTTGTTGATGTCTTTGGCGCGTTTCAAGTCCTTGTCTCCGCCTAGTTGGGCTTCGATCAAGTGATCGCAGTGGATCGTCGATGGAACGGCGACCCTTGGCAATCCTATGATAATAATTCGTTAGTAAAGAGAATGTTAAGGATATGTTCTTGAAGAGGATAGATGGTAGATAACGTACCAGAACTGATGAATTGCAACATGGCCATCTGAGCTGTCGCGTCTTGCATGGCCACGCGATCTGGACGCAACCTAAGGTAGCTCGTGCCACGGATTATCTCTTGCTTCGCGGGGTCATCGAGGTGAGAATATAAAACCTTTTCGGAGAGGGTAAGGGGTCGAGTCACCCTAGAATAATTTTAAAATACTTCAGTCACCGTATTCTATAAATAGAGGCATAGGAAGGCGACAAGTATTGGAAGCGATGGCACTTTTGTAGACCTCGGAAGAAAATAAAGGCGACAATTAGAAAGCAAATTAATATTGTTACGTACTTCTTCTTCACAATCTTCAGGTTCGCTTCCAATTTGTCGTACGGGAGGTAGCTCGTTTGATCGAATTTGGACATCGCCACCTTCGCGGCGGCGAAGCTCAGTGGGCTTACACTGAAGCATCTTTGTTGAATGTCTGCGGCGAATACGGCGAGCCGCTGCAAATAACATTTTTTGAAATGTGTGAAACAACAGAAGTTTACATGAATAATGTATGTATTTTTGTATTCGTAGGAGGATCCGAATTTAATAAATAGATTCGAAAACGTGTTCAGCTTAAATTATATTCGTCTGCTGGCTGTTCGACCGAAACATTTGTTGGCTAATGTAACATGATTCCAGGAGAGCGCTAAAATGATTGTACTAAATTTTTTGTCAACCCTTTTTTCCGAAGTTTTCAAGGTCACCTTCAGTTTTTTATAGATTAAACTATAATGTTTAGAATAAAAAATATATTGTTATGATGCTTGCTAATTTACTATTACTTTAAAGCTCTCCTTGGATCATGTTATATTAGCCAAACAAATTTTCGATCGAACAGCCAGCAGAAGAATATAATCCAAGCTGATCACGTTTCGTCCACCCTGTATAGAAATATTATTATTACTACAGTTTTGAATTACGAGTACAGGGAATATTTTGTTAGATAAATTAAAATTGTTTACAATATTGTGTTATTACATTTATTATGATTTAAACTGTCTATTATACTCGTCGGTGTGAAGTATTATATACGGTACACGTAAATTTCTAGAAGCAGAACAGACAGTCGAAGCAGCAGCCTTTGTTTACAAAAAGACATCGTTAACTAAGCCGTACAAAAACATCGTCTGTAGGTAGTTTATGAACCGATTTTGCTGAATCTCTTATCTTCCGATAACGACCTGAACATATGTATATGAGTTGCGAATAAGAATAAATTCTAACATAATTCTCTAACCATTTCCATAAAAATAAATGCAAAGTTTGTATGCAACTAATTAAAATATAAATACAAATATTGATACACACATAGCTCCAATAAATAATTTTGTAAAAGTCAGCAACAAATTTAGTAATAATATTGTACACGATGTAAAAAACTCATAAAAACTAACAAGTCAGTTTATGAACTGACATTTTAGATTTACCCTTATCTAGAATGAACGCTAACATGATTAAGTTTTATTGACAGGCGTCACGAGCTCGTCGCGAATACATGAATGTATATCAGTCATAAATAAACAAGCACTGAAAGTATGATTTTATTTATAGTCAGGTAACAGTACATTACGAGGCATGTTAAAAAAACAATTAACGACATCGCGTCGCGGAAGGTATCTATTTCTAAATTCCATCATGCGCTCGACTTTGTCGCGGGTGAGCGTACATTACGAAATCGTACATATAGACTCATCTGTACACATCGACAGTTACATAATTCGATTATTCGTGAACGCGAATGTTTTAAGTTACTCCAGTTTCGCAGTAATATCACTACCAAAATCTCTGAAACACTAGGAAACGAGCGTAAATATGGGGAAATACGCGCAATCAAAATTGCATCGTTATCAACGAAACTCGAACACGATTCGTTATCATTTAAAATCAGCAACTTTATCATCGAGCAATTTAGCATTTCTTTTTAATGATAAGAGAATCAAATGATAAGCTTCTGTACACTTTTTACTTCGCTCACACGCGCTATACGCTTCGCTTCTGCGCAGTGATCAAAGACATAACCTCGAAGTATTCCAAAAATGAACTCGATACATACATATAACAGAAGCTCCGAAATAGATTATGTAACGGGCAAATTACAATTTTCCTTCCTCCAACATCCAGCAAATCAAATGCGACGCGCGGCACCGTTATCGGGACGTCATTGTCCGCCCTTGATCTATTTGAAAATAATTTTCCTCGCTCGTCAGACAAAGATCATATGTTCTGTCAACAATGAAGTTTCCAAATCCTCTCTGACAGTGACGATCTTGCGAATGACATCGTAACACTTGATGATTTTAAATTAACACATTCAACAAAGGTGACGGTCACCGGTGACCGTCACAGCAGTTCCATTCACACCACGTCGGTCACTCATGACCGTCATTCAATAAAAATTCAAATGTCAAGTAATACAATCGACGTGAAGGAAAAGTCAGCTGAACCTCTGTGAATGAACGTGTATTAAGGTATCACGAAAAAGAGAGCAAATGGCGACCCGAACTATCCGTCACCTTTCATCTCCAGTTTTCGCAAGCCTGTTACTTAGAGAGTAGGTATAAACAAAAATCGATATTTAAATAACACTCTTAATTAACCGTGAATACAAAACTAACATGCGAATAACACGGTTGACCTTGATGACGGGGTCGAACGGTCAAACTCGAATTGAGGCGCAGTGTACGGTTACCGGTTGCAAATTACAGAGCTCGTGGGCGGTTTGCACTCGAGATAATATTCGACAAATCGCGGATCATACCTGGCCGTTAAGAATTCGTGTACAATACAGCATCGTGGACGAACGAAGCCTCTCGTGACGTCCTGAACCGTGCCGAATTGGGTTTGTAGGCGGTGGGAAGCGCAGGCGCGAGATGAAAAGGCGAAAAATATAACGAATTTTCCTCTCGTGGCAGCCCTTCTCAAACCGGCCACTCGAGAACTGAGGGAAATTCGGCTTGGCTTCCTCGTGTCAATGCTGAGAAGCGGCGCATGCGCTTCGCGGGGCGGACAGAAACGTTTTGAATACGAATTTCATTGAAACGGCACAATGGCGCCCTCTGGTCAACGGTTCGTCTGTGACCCGTCGCCGGTGACATGTAACCGTCGCTAGTTACAGTAGAAACTCGTTTATTGCAGCGTTCGGGCCTGTAGAGAACTACATTTCCAGGAATACATACTGCATTATAGTAGACATTCGATTCCCGCACGAGTCGGGGCTGTAGAAGGCTAAATTTCCAGGAACCGTGCAGGAATTGGTGACCAATTACCCGATCGCTTTCCCCACCACTCGGTCGTTCAGTTAGGCGATGCAGCTACATATAGGGTGGGCTAGATATACGCACTTTATGGCTATGTTAATTATCTTCGTTATTTTTAGGGATATCAGATATGTTTATTCACAGAAGTTGTTTAGTATGGAGAGGGCTATTACTTAGCAATAACAATTTTATCGTAGGTGAAGGATCTTCTAAGTTTTCGAAGTTAATTGTTTTTTTTATTAACGAAATTGAAATATTACGGAATGTGTAGTTCCATTTAAAACAAAATTACATTGGTATAAAAATCTGTGTAAATAACAATGAAAAAATAATTCAAATATTCTATTAAGTTTATTGCATGAAATGAAACAACTTTCATATGAAGCATTTCTTCACATTTTCAATGGGTACAGAAATAATAGCGTGTGTATAGTTAAACCCGACATTCGGTACATGTTATTCTATCATTTTCTTATTCTTAACTCTAATTTTGCTATACCTTATACTTGTCGCGTATTTTTATAAGTTTATCTGCTTACGTAAGTATTTATATTCATCATAAATGAGGTATAATACGAAATGTAGTTGACTATAACTGAAAGTATTTAAAAATATTGCAACCTTTTATTAAAACAGTATTATATACACTGTGCTTTCTGTGATGCAACATGTGAGTTAGACGCAACACTGTAGATATTGTGTTCCTTTTTTGCTGGGCGACAAAGTGGAGTGCACGCACGTGTGACAGAAATACGTGTGAGCGATGAGCGTTCTTTGTTTACAATAAAATAGCCTGCAATAAACGAGTTCCTACTGTATTAGAGTTTTACAGTTCCGAAACAGAGGTTCACAACGTACCCTTTGTGAGGCGCTACGAGCGCGGTTAGGTCTCGGTTAGGTGGGGACCTAACCGTTGATCGTTCCTCTGCAGATTCTAAAGGGGGCATCAGACTCGCTCGGATTGATATGTATACAATGCATTCGCGCCGGGACGGTTTGCACAATGTGCATTCATTTACTTCTATTCGAATAAAATGTATAAGTTGTAATATGATTGATTACTTAAATTAAACACGCGTATGTGCTGCTAAATTTTTATTCAGAACCACTATGTGACAGGCTGAATTTGCCGAATTTGACTAAAAATGAATTTTTCTAATAATTTCGAGACAGGACGTAAATTAGTTAATCGTCCAATAATTTCTTCTTTTTAAACTGTAATTACCAGTGGTTCTCCAAATGTATTATAATACATTTCAGATAATTTAAGGGATAAATGAAATATCTATTTTATGTGAGAGTGCATAGGTGCGCGCTCCGTCATATACAGGGTGTTTACAAAAATCGTTTAAAATTTATATGGTACATAGGACACTCTACGGAGTAAAAAAGCTTTAGTAAACAGATCGAAAGGTTAACCGTTTCCGAGATATAAACATAACAGCCTGTATAGAGGGAAAACAGGCGCGCATATGTGCGCATCCTGGCACGAAAGTGATATTATTTCATCGGCTCCTCGAGGGTCAACGTTTCATCGCTAATGATGCACAGTCCGAAGGCGTGAATTATGTGTCACAGAGCGGAAGATCCGATGTTCAATGTGTTTTCATATGTAATTCTTTCTGAACAGCTGCGGAAGAATAGCGTAATCACGTGCAACTGCGAAAGAAAGATATAAGGGGATACTATACATTGTTAACAAGATTGTTAGTACTTCATTTTTCTGTCTTGAAAGTGTATTTTGAAATTATGTAATTGGTTTAAAAGTTGATACGTCCTTCATATTTTCTTAATAGTATGTAATTGTTCTTCTTCTTTTAGGCAGAATTAATTAAAATAAAAAAGACATAAGTAGGAGTAGTACAGACTGCATTTAAATGTATTTCAAACTATTAAATCTTTTATTGTTACGTTATGAATATATTTTACTGTATCTTTTATAAGAAAGGATAATTATCAACAATAAGCGTTTAATAATGTACAAGGCTCAACATTTCCGCTTGTCTCAAACATTATCTTTACACACGAACTACATAGGCACAAAACAAAAACAAATATGTAATTACAGAAGAAAAATTGATAAAAATATCTTAAATGATGAAAAAGAACGCTCAGTAAGTGATGTGCTAATGTTAATTAAAAACCACAGCTTCAAAACTCAACTGTAACTCAAATGCCAGCTTAAAATATATCTGCTATAGCCTGAAGAATTTGGTGAAAATCGTTTTGAATGGAAGAAAAAATTACATCATCTTACAAGAATGCCACGCGCGACTGATAAACTCATTATTGAAAACATACGCACAGATAGCATGTTCACATAGATTAGATTTATTTGTGAAGCATACATACTTGAAATAGATCCGATAGTTTTCTAATCGAGCATAAGATTAATGGTTCTCAAACATTTGATCAGAGAAAGAGAAAGAATTGTTTGCTACAGATTACGTGACAGTATTCTCTCCACACAGTGTGGATCCACGGTTTACGCCTAATCTGATCGACCACCATGACAGTTTCGAATAATGGCCGCACTTTTACGTCCGTAACCTCTGACTCCGAATCACGAAACACGCGTAGGCATACGCGGTTCGGTGCAACCGAATCTGGCGGATGAAGGAATAAAAATGAAAGTAGATTCTCGTTGTCGGAGGCGGCAGCAACACACGACGATCACGATGAATAAAGTTTGCAAATCGTCGCTGAGGAATTCGGAGCTCTGCCGATCGTACTGATAAACCGTGCGCGGCTGTTTACCGCGGCCTGAAGCCGCTTTACATCGTCGACGATACCGTAATGCGATTACGTCGAGCTTTGTATCAGCGAGGAGGTCTTATTTTCAGCATCCGACAATGCCTTAATACGCTGGTGTGGGGTATTGGTGATCGTCAGTGATGAAAGTTCGATCAAAGAAATCTGTTTGAGATCTTTCGAAAGCGTTGATACGTTTGTATAGATCTGTAGGATCTATATTATTTATATCGAAGGCTAGAGCGATTTAAGATTTGAATTAAAATTTGTAGAATCTATATTATGTATACAGGGTGGACCACCAAAAGGTAGCTACGTAAAAAAATAATTGCATACAATTTGAATACATTGCAAAGAATATTTTTGTGGTAAGGTCATTTTTTCCGGAGTTTTCAAGGTCACCGATGTTTTTTGCATACAAGTAAATTTTTTCCTTTATACAATATTGTAGCTGGCATTGCAACGCATTCAGAAATATTAATGACATGACCTTGAAGTGACCTTTGATTCTCAAAATTGAAATTACGTATGAAATTCATTTCCATGGATATCACCGACCCCAGCGGCGACGGGCGAGAATCTGCGGATATGTGAGTAAACATGTTTTAGAAGACCAGACTGCTGTTAAATTTATAAGACATCTATCATGTAGTTTGTGAATTACCATGTTATGTTAAGAATTTAAAATAATGTATCTCCACAAGTATGCATTGCCTAAAACGTGCGATAACAGATAAACTCGAAGTCAAAGGTCACTGCAAGGTCATATCATTAACATCTTTGAATGCGATTTAATGCCACTTACAATATGGAAAAGAAAAAATATACACTTATATGAAAAAATTAAAATTGCATGCAACATATTTTTTACATACTCACAACTGAAGGATTTATTTAGGTGGCTATCTTTAGGTGGACCACCCTGTATAGGTGGTTATAGAGATTTAATATTTAAATAGAAGATTCTAAGATCGTATATTTGAACAGCAGTATGTAAGTTTTTTACTCCTGTAAAGTGTATACACTTATTCACAGGAAGTAATAAGAATGAATGCTGAAGGTCTGATCAATGATCCTTATATCCTATCGATAAATCCTGGTGTTACTTTGATATCATTCTTTGAAAACACTCGACTGGTTTCTGTTATACTATTAACTCTTTTAATGGGACAATTAATTAGTACAGAAATTTTTTAATATATTGGGGTTACCAAGACGTAGTCCACTACTTTTTGTGAAACTTTGTATCCATTTCGAAATAATTCAAATAAATATCCTATTTGAACATTCGTTATTTTTTCTGATCATCCTCTACCATTTTGACTAAACAGAATATTGGAATGATATTCTGAATGTAAAATGTATTGCCACAATATAGAAACTACGGAGAACTAATTGCTAGTACACTTAATACTAATTACATAGTATTATATTAAGTGTCCGTGAAATTTCATTCGTCCTATCGTTGATTTAAATTTGCCACACTTCTTTATGTGAATTTCGATTCTCTTCACTCTCAATCTGTGTATATAAATAAATTGTATAGTAATAATAATACGGTTCTCTTAATACATACAAACATGCATTCAGTAGTTTGTACTCACAATTTTATTTTTTTGTATTTTTTTGTGTGGGGAAATCCTGTAAGTGCCTCGCTCTTCGAAAGGAAATGAAGAACATACCGGAAAATAGATCAGACACGTGAATATGTCTCGTAACAAATTACTGAAGTCGTTTTAGGAGTGAGGTATTTAATTACTTTAATGAAGCGAGGTTAATTGTATCTCTCCCGTGGGATTATTAGTGACTCACGTGGAGGTATCGATGATGAAGCTCCTACCTTTTGAATCCCTGGAAAATTACGGGGACGCGTTGCTCGCATTTCTTAAACCGTAACTGTACGGCTTAGCTAAGAGACATGGTCACCGCTTCACATTATAGTGT